GCCGCCCGGCTGCCGCCGGCCGCCTCAGCAGGCAGCGCGGGATCTGCAGAGATGGGGCGCGGGTGGCACGGCCCCGGCCCCTCGGGGCCTGCCGGGGGGCGGTCACCTGCTTGCGCCTCGTTCCGTCCCTGGGCCCGCGCGGCTGAGGGCTCGCCTGCTCCCCTTTACCGGCACCCCGCTTGTGGCAAGGGTGGGGAGCTCCCCTCCCATCCAGGCCCCTGAGCCCGGCCTCTGGCCGGGAACATGCCGTCGTGCTCCACAGTCAGTGAGCTGAAGTGTGTAATGTACACACGCTGAGTGCAAACTTCAGTTGAACATTTTGCAGGTTTACAAGGGAAACATCAAGATTTGTCAAAGACATTTAGGAGCAGTTGATGCCAGCTATATTTCTAACCACGCAGGTATCGCTGAAGCGGCAGAGGTAGAAGCTTGTTGGTGCCGGGGTGAATCTCGCACACTTGTGCTGAACAGCCTGCTCAGGGTAACTGTGTGGCCTGGGAGTCTTACTGCCAGGTGTTTTCATAGTGTGATCAAGTTCTTTATCTTTGATGTTTGCTGTTTGTTCATGCTTTCATGAGTAGGTGTCAAGGGGTATCTTTTACTTTTTTTACCTGTTCAAAAATCTAAAAGAGTTTATGTAGTCAGCCTGGATAATAACACTGAAGGAGCTTTGGAGAGCACAGACACCAGAGAGGTAAACAACTGCCCGGTTCATTGGCACTGTCCTTTGGTGACAGCAGAGTTGTGCCTTTTAGTAAATGTCCAAGTTCTCTCTCCCAGCCTTTGCCAAATCCTTAGAGTTTAAAAATGTGAACTGGCTTTCAAATACAATATTTGGAAAAAAAACCCAACCCCTCTACATTTTAAAATGTGTGACATTTTAAATCTGGGGACTCTGGAACAACGTGTACAGTGAGAGTTACTGTAAAATCATAGGAATGGATGGCACTGACTGCATCAAATTGTCATCAGCGCATGTTCTCATGCACAGTAGGAACTGTTGTACCACATTCCTGTACTGCCTGCCCGCTCCACTTCCTGGTACACAAACTGCTGTGCTAAAATATGGATCTGCCATTAAAAGCTTTCAAAGGTAGATGAGCCTGGTCAGATGTGCTTAGGCCAGAGCACAAAGACAGAGTAGGCATAGCCACTACTGAGTCTATTTTAAAAATAATCCATAGAATCTGTCTTATCTTTTTGCACGTTGTGGAATCATCCAAAGATCATGGTCAAGTTCTGTTCACTCTTCAGCCAGTCCTAATGCCTCTGCCCTGAAAGTGGTAGTTTTTTCTACATTTAGATTCCTTTTCAGAAGTACTGCACTGTAGGTGAAATTCAGTTACGAGTTAATTAAATTAGTGAACCCTGTTCTGAGCATGTCAGTATACACAGCAGGTTTTGTTATTATTTGCGTGAAGAAAGATTTGCCAAGTTATTTACCTTCAGGTGAGATGCTAAACAGGAATCTCTGCTGCTTGTTTCTTATAGCCATTCAAAAATGGTGTTGTTAGAGGAGCTTGCACTAAGTTGGGTTTACTGGGTTAGATTTCCTTTGTCTCTTCTTTCATATTGTGTGGTTACTTAGCTTCTTTGTTTTTACAGGATCTTTAGAAAAGTAATATGTCTTCCATACTGAAGATGCCACAAGCACATCTGTAAGTTAGTGTTCTGTATTTTGTAACAGTAGTGTTCTACATTTGACTGCTGGTTTATATTTGAAGTCTAACGAGTATTAAAAATGGCCAACAATTTAATTGAAACGTTGGCATTCATCTTACATTTTTACATATACTTCAAGAATCTCCAAATATGACAGTTATTAGTATCCACAATGTCACAAACTATTTCCCAAATATCGAGCAGTACTCAGTTCTGAAGAGTACTATCTGAAGAGACTGTTGCAGATACAGAGTGGAGAAAAGACCAATGAAAATGATTAAAAGTGAGATTGATAGACACATAGAACTTACTGGTTAAATAAACACACTTAAACGCGCTTCCTCCTTGTCATTCCTTAATATTTCTTGAACTTTACATAAGCAAGCAGTTCAGTAAGTAATGGAGAGAATATTTATCCTAGATTCTCTGACAGAAGTAGCTCCTTAGGCACTTGCTTGAATTGCTTTGGCTTTCCAGGTTGTTTCATGCTAATTATGCTGTGTTAATACAGTGTGGTTGATCTTTGGCTATGCTGACCTCCACCTCTAACTTTCCAACACCACTGATTCCTTTGGGCCAAGGCTCATCTGACCCTGAGCAGCTTCATGGAGCCCAAAAGGTAGAAATCTAACCTTATAACCAAAAAGTTTAGAGTTTTTTTGTGGCTTTATGCTCAAAACCATGTCACTGTGGAGTCGGATTAGCATTAGTGCCAGTGTGGAGGGAAACAGACAAATGCTTTTGTTGTGGTGCAGCACAAGATAGAGGGGAAAAGACACTATGAGAAGTAAAGATGGATAAATAGAGAAAGGTGGAGTTACATAAAAAATTACCAGTTATGGTGACTTGAGTCATGCTTCATCATATTTGGTATTTTTATAAAAGATCAAGCTCCAAGGATTATACAAATAAGTGAGAATCTCAGCATTACTTTTATAACCCCTGTATTTGAGAAGTGAACTGTAGAGATCTGAGTTAGAAGCTAAGCTAACAGAAAGAAGAAAACTAATATTCTCCCCTATTTTATTTTAAAATCAAACATGATTTTGATCTGGTTTTTTTCAGTTAATAGTTGTTTGCATGGCAAGAAGAGATTACAAGGAATTCAGATTTAGATAGATTTATTGGGAGATTTATTTACAGAAGGACAAATGAAGAGAGAAGGTGCTTTTTAAAAGCACTAGCTAATGTAATTTGAAATGTGCTTAGTATGGAAGTAGATGGACATAGTTACAATTTTGTATGTGGGGTATTATTTCAGAAACTATATTATGCGTTCACTGAGAAGTATAGGATGAATGTGTTTTAGAAACAAGGGGTAGAATTCAGGTGCCTAAGCATCAAGTGACATTTCATATGCCTTTGGATATTCTTCTTGTCTTCTAGCTTCTGCTGTGGAAGGTGACAAGTCTCCCATAGGTCCTGTGTCCTAGGTCCTAGTAAATCTAGGGTTTATAAAATGTCACTAGATTACTATGTTTAGGTACTGAGTCACTCCCAAACTGTGTTTACTACTTATTGTTGTCTTTGACCCTATGTAGTAATTGTTCACCTATGTGCTGTGCCTGTTACCCGATTAGGCAACAAAAACATTTTAAACAGGATGAATAATCAGTACTGTTGTTTAGTGTGACCTTTCGTATTAATATTTGTCAACATTAAAAAATACCATATTCTTCATAATGTCACATTAATTTGAACGCTACCAAATAATGAATGATTTGATCTTATGAACTATAGCAAACCCAAAGCACCTTTCATTTACACAAAGATAAGGTATTTGAACAGCACTGATTGGACACTGAGAGAATGGATTGCAGGATAGCATGGAGTCTTAGTTGGTAAATGCTCATTGCTGACCATTAAATTCTGTCATTAGTTTGCAGTCATTCTTAACTTCACATGAACACAGAGATCTACAGTAGAATTAAATTTATTTTGCAATATTGTATATTATTTTTTTTCTCTGACTGATCTGCAGGCTCTCCCTTTGCAAAATGAAAAAGCATGCCCCTGAAAGCAAGTGCTATTCCCAAATTCTTCACAATCAAAATCATCCAGACACCCACAGAGCTTTGAAGTCCTCCATAAACAGGCTTAAGGAAGGAAATCTTTATATAGTATTTCTCAAAATATTTGCTAAATGTATCAACCAAGTTTGCTTTGGGCAAAACAATAAGTTAGACGTACCTGGCTGATAGGGGTTTTTTGCGTCCTCCGAAATCTTTCTATGTAATTGGGATTCAAATGTGAGCACTTTGAGGAATCTTCTCTGACAGCACAGGGGGCTTGTGGCATGGAGAGACAGCCTGATAGAGGGGAATCTATCTGCTTAATTTGCAGATGTGCTCCTGAGAACTCAGTCTACTGTGGCTAACTGGCTGTGACCGGTTTTTTTTTTCTTTCCTCTCATCTTCAGATGGCACAACAAGAAACCCACCAGCCTCCAGAAGCTTTAACTCTTTGCAGTAGAACCAGACCAGAGTGACAGTAGATGTCTGTTAGTTAGATTGTAAATGTCTGCAGCATACACTCCTTTACATTTTAATTTTTTACACTGCTAAACCTGTCAAGCTCATGATCTTTTTTGGACTTTTCAGTGCTATTGGAATATAAAAATGTAATCTAAAGTAATTTTTGAGTTAAATGAAAAAATAATTTCAATAGCTAGTAAAAGAAAACAACTCCTGCTGATTGGCGTACTAGTGCTTTCACTGGGAATGCTCTGCTGCAAGTAGGTAGTGACACTGAAACAGCAAAGGAAATGACAAATGCGTGCAACCCAGTGAGTGAAGGCTGACTAAAAGCCCAATTCAAAGTCCACTGAAGTCATTAGGAATGTCTTTTTTCTACTTTAGTGGCCTTCTGATCAGACCTTAAAGGACTAATAAAACTTTGCACCCTTCTGTGGCATTTTTCATCAGTTTCACAGCGCTTTCTCCGACAAAAAATAATTAGACTTTGGGAAGTCCTCTGGGAACACATCCTTTCAACAGCTAGCAGTGCTGGGGCACAGAGGATAAGCCTCTTGCATAACATAGCACACCAAATAAACAGAAAAACCTGGAAAACAATTCACTATTCATAGCTCCCTGCTTTTGTTTTCCTGGCCCTACTTCACCCACTCCTGAGTTACAACATCTGCTGCAAAGTATTTTAGAAATATCTCATCTCCCATTTGAAACTGCTGTGAGAATAGGCGTAGAAAGAGTAGAGGAATTTGTTTAGTACAGCAAAGCAAACATACCAAATGTTTGTGAAAATCGTCTTGAAACGTTCAATAACTATAATGCAGATAGGATGTGGTGATGTTTCTCATCTGAAATACAGAAGCTCTAAGGCACTGTGCCCTGTAGCATCCATATGGGCCTATTACTTCTGAAACAAAGATAAAAGTAGACTGTAATACAGAGTTGAATGCTGAAGAATTTAACTTTCCCCAAATTTAAGGCCATTCAGATCACATTTATTTCTATTTTCAGTATTGCCTAGATGATATTTGACAGCTTCTTATCCAAGTGCTTGACATAGTCTGACCCTTGTTTGAGTCTGTGATCAAAGATCTACTGGCAAAAGAGATACGAATGTTTAAGCGAAGAATCCAGCCCCCAATTATGTCTCATTTAATATTTTACATTCATTTTATTCTCTTCTGCCCGTTGACATGCCTTATCTTTAGAAATTCTTCTTCCAATTACTGTGGCTGAGAAGATGGAGAAATTAAAATTTGTTGGCAACACCATGTCAGTTTTGGATGAGAGCATGGCCTGACCAAGCTGGTTTTCTGTAACTGTCCATGACAACCTGCTTTGGAGGAGCTGCAGCAAGTAGCTTCAGAATAATGTATCTACAAGGCAGGAAAATCATGTTCAGAACTGTCCAGGTCATAGCAAGAACATCTAGGATTTGCATCCTGAATTTATTTGGCAGAGAACCCATGCGAAAATGAATAAATAGACTTTTCCGTCACAATTTCTATTTTAATAACATTGACATAGGTAGTATGTTTTCAGCAGATTGCTCACTGTTATAGAAATGCTTTGTTTCACTTGATTTTCTTCTACAATTAATTACTTAAAATAATATGTGGTTTACATCTTCCTTATCCCAAATCATTCCAAATTGCATTGATATATTTCCAGGCTTTTCAGCATATTTTCTGCGAGTAAAACAGTCATTTCTGAGCTGGAACGTAACTGGCTCCCCATAGGTTGCAGTAATGCACTCCAGCTCAGCAGGGAAAGGGAAGGCCACCTTAGTCATTTGTGTAGGGTTAGCCAGCCAGAATGCAAATATTCTGGATATTTAGCCAGGACCCACAGGCTGAAACCTGTGAAAAAATGGCACAAGGAGCCCAGTGTCCTACAGTCTTCAATTTTCTGTCTCATCTAAAAACATCAGTAAACAGTATTTAACATGCGAGGGACAGGGCTTTATTCGGAGGCCTCATCTAAAATAGCTGATTGAATCCAGCTGTGCTTTAACTGTCAAATCCAGGACAATCGCACTCCAGGGGACAATGGCTACTACATTTTGGAGGAGTGCTTGGTGCAAGGAAACGTTACCCTTGTCATAGGCCTCTAGGTGGTCTTTAAAGGGAGCAGCGCTCTTGAAGCCATTGGAAATTCATTAAAAAAACCTTCTGTTCATGTACGGGACTGACATAATAGCACTGAAATCAAACAGGATCAATGTGCTTGCTTGCAATTAAAGCCCTTAGATATATCTCTTAAAAGCTTATACGAGCTGGGCATGAGAGGCACATGTTTTTGACCATCGCAAAGGTCGGCTCTGAGGCTCAGTAAATGCACTTATGCAAACAGATGCAGCTCCCATCCATGCAAATTGCTGATGCATTAAGTGTGTGCCCTTAAGGCCTCCTGCTGAAGGCAGTGGCAAACATCCAGTTGATTTAAACAAGATTAGCTGCTGTTGCAGATCACATTGAATTGAGTGATGCTGCAAGGAACCTCATCTGAAAGTTTTCGTCCTTTATAATTGAAACTTTTTCTTTTAGTTTGTTCCCATAGTTCAGTTGACCCGCACCTGCTCGTGGCCAGAGCTTGCTGCTGTCGGGTTTGCTCCAGGAGCTCTGCCTCCCCGCAGGTGGTGGGTAGTGGGGAGGAGGAGGGAGAAAAGTAGGGCAGGACAGCAGAGCAGGGAGGGCTTTCTTTTGCAGCTGTAGCTTTGCAGATGACAAGAAGGAAACAGTTGACTGCCTTCTGGAAAGTGGGTAACCTTCCTCTGCTGCCCCACTGGAAACGTTTTACGTCTTTCTCGGGGCAGGAATTCCCAGAATCACTCCTTTCACTTGCTCCACTTTCAAAGTGCCATCCTGGGATGTTTGTTAAGGTAGTGACCATAGCACATAGCTAACAACAAACATTTATTAAGGACAGGCTTGAGTTCCAGCTGTACATGCCTCTCTGCGCCATGGGGACTGATGATCTGCATTCCAGGCTCCAGCTCTAGCAGTAGTGCGGGTATGAGTACCCTGGTAACATCTGCTTTTGCTAGCATGGAGGAAGCACAGCTTTCTGTGCCATTTGTGAGTGGTGTTTCTGATGAGGTTGTACTTTCATGGTTGCATAAACAGCTACAACAGGCTGCCAAAAGGGGCAATCTTGCATCCTTCCCTTGCTCCCACTGCATGTTCCCACCGTCCCCTTGTGCAGACACTCACGATTGTATGGCTGTAACGCAGATCAGAAAACATGTATTTAAAAGAGGACATGCATATTTGCTCAGTTTAGTTTCGGGTTTTATATTGGTAGTTTATTTTGTCTGGCGAAGAGGTGGGCTGGAATGAAAAGCCAAGGGGTGAAGAGGGAAAGAGGGTGGTGGTGGCCTTTTTGGGAGCAGCCAGCACTTAGATAGGCTTAAATTGATTCTGACTGCAGTTGTCTGATACAGGCTTTTTCCTTTTCCAAAGGTACTACCTCATTCTTTATTGCTGTAATAATATTGTACCAAATCCATACTCCTCTAGAGTCTCCTTGACTCACTAATGTGGTAAACGGTAGTAAGACAGCAAGGAGTGGAAATCAGATACTTTTTTGCCAAAAATCCCTGCTCTTCAGATTGAGTTTACTTTAGTAAATATATGACCTAGGTCACTCATTTTGTGTGTAATTAAACCAGCTTCCTTGAGCAAGCTTTACACAAATATATGGGTACATCTATTACATGGGGTGACTTCTATGGTACTGCTGTCTAGAGGGCAGATGGGGATGTTACGGTTTTTTGTAAGAGAAAGCATGCTGTTACATAGCTTCTGGAACAGGTTGGAGAGCAGACTAATGTCCTGAATCACAGTGTGCTTTCTCATCGTTCTTAGGATGCAGTAACCAGCTCTGGTTCTGTACTTGGTCCCTTGACAACTTACTGCACACTTAAGACTTGCCTGTATGCCTGCAGTATTACCTAACTACATGAGCGGTCAACCTGCAACCTGCATTGTCTTTACTAGCCTGCCCCATCACTAGTGACAGCTTTTATGTTGCTGAACTAGCCAGGCCAAGAGATTCCCCAGAATCAAGGTCTTTAGTGCAGACTGACATGTAAAACCTTTATGGATGAGAGGTGTTCTAGAAATGCTTGTTGCTTAGTTCTGTATTGTGTGTTGTAAGAGACTAGGATTGCTTTTATGAGAGGTTAGTTAGATCTGAAGTATTAAAGACCCCTTTGAAAAAAGTTAGTTGTGACAGGTGTAGTTACTGTGCTAGCTCTGTAGCGAAAAAAGATCAGGCATTGTCCAGTGGTAACAGAGTATAAGATGTAAAAATCATGTATTTGTGTTCAGTCTGATTTGTGCAGACATAGGTTATAAAATCTTGCGAACGGGTGTATCTAGTGATGTTTTCCATGAACCTATGAGTGATCTATAGATACACATTTCTGAATATCCCTGTTTTTATTGAGAATGACTTTTGGGAGAGCAAGTTCAGAGTGTGGAAACCTGACTTTAACCTATGTCAGAAACACTAGGGAAGTATTTTTTTTCCAGAAAAATAAAATTATGTAAGGCTTTAGTGAGTTTGTAGAGAGGATTATCTTACTGCTCTTTCCATTTAAAAATTCAGAATCTTCATTTTTCTTTCATTGCCTATATGATATTTAAAAGAAACATAAAGCACTCAAAAATGCAGCATAAAACAGGAAGCCTATATTCCACCACATTTTTTATTGTTTAATAGAACAAATAACTGTGTAATTGAAATCATGCTAATACTCACTTGACCTGCCTCTGTGATTCAATGCAGAGATTTCTGGTTTGGCTTAAACTGCTGGGAAGAAGACTTTTATTTTGAGAAATAAAATTGATTTTGCACAATCTGCTGATGATCAGCAAG